TCTTTGAAGAATCATATGAACTCAAGAATGGAATACAACTGGTTGGATTTGAATTAAGTTTCACTGCCTTTTTCTTTAAGATGCTGAAATTCTAGAAACAAAACCTCCTCTGTTTCCCATCTCTGAAAAGCTAAGAAATAGGAAGTGGGTGGGAGCCTTTTTCTTTTTCTAGGCTCCTAACAAGTTTGAATTAATTACAGAAAAAGCCACTGGGAAGTTTCCAAGTTCCTCATTTTGATGATAAAATTGGTGATGAGCCCAGATGTTTTTTGGGGAGAACTTAGGAATGTGTTCTATCTACTCTGGCTATTAAGAGGCCCCCAAAGCTCTGTGTGGCTAAGGTTGACTTTCAAGATGGTGCTATCCAAACATGGTAGTACCTTTGAGGTATGGGATCTAGTCAGAGATATTTCAATCATTGTTTTCCTTCATTTAACTCTCTGTCCATGAGGTAAGTGTTGTACCACATGCATCTGCAATGATAGGCTGTGTTGTCACAGGTCAAAAAGCAACAGGGCCACCTGATCATAGACTGGAAGCCTCACAACCATGAGCAAGTTCCTTTGATAATCCTTGTCTTTTATAAGCCAGTTGCTTCAGAAATTTATTAGAGTCAACATAAAACTAATTCACAATAGAACATGGGCTTAAGCCAGACTCACTGGACTTAGATCTAACCTAAGCAATTTTCATGCTATATGACCTCAAAAAATTTATGAATACTCTGCAAGCCTCGGTTTTGTCAATCTGGAAAGTGGAAGTACTAATAGCAATCACAAGGTCAATATAAATGGTTACACATCTGAAATGTGCTCAGAAAAGTACTGGGCACATAGCTAAACCCCAGTTAATGCTACTACAATCTTCATCACTAGATTTAATTGTATTGTGACTATCACATCAGATCTCATGACAATCATTTCCTCTCCTTACTTTCCTACAGATCTTCATCTGACCTCTGTGAACATGAATCTAAGAAATCTCCCTGTGCATTAAGGTAGGAATTACAGACTGCGGGGAGGGAGCAGTTCAGTTAGTATGGGGATCTGAGTTCACATTCTCAAAACCCACGCAAGAAGCTGGGTGTGTGTGTGTGTGTGCCTAAACTTCCAGCCCTGGCTAAGTATGGCTCGTTAGTCAGGGAGTTTTTCCAAATCAAGGAGGCTCTACATACAGTGAGTGACCCTTTCTCAGAAAAGTAAAGCAGAACCCTGCAAAGAAAAATACCTGATGTCAGCTCTACCCCTACATGCACACTGAAATGACAGTCTTTTATAGAGATTAGGCGAACGCAAACAGCTAACAGGAATTTCACCTGTTCCTGGTACGCTGATGTTTTACCGAACTTGGATCTTAAGGCTTGCCCAGAAGAGCTTTATCCACTGGGCCATCTCACCAACCCATTACATTTTTAACCCAACCCCTAGAACATTTAAATGTATCCACATGGCTTATATCCCAGCTCTCTTGGACAGTGCTACTTCAGCCCACAAAGACAGCAAATGTGGAAAGACGGCTGCATCTCCTTTCCCTCACTCTGCTGACCAGTCCCTCGCATAGAATACAAGCAAGGCTTGCAGCTAAGAGCTCTGTTCCACTCTCGGAACAGCGGGAGCTTATTCAATCTCACCTCTTTAGATGGCTCTGCGTTGAAAGACTCTCTTTTTCTCTATCCTGTTTGTCCCAGTGCTAATTAAATTGGCTAAAATCCCCGGGAGTTCTGTGAGTGAAGGAACAGGGGCTGGCATTGGTGTGCCTGCATGTACCCAGGTATATGTGTACTTTGGAAATCAGAAGGAAACAGTAGTATGTAATTATCCACCATTGCCACCCCCGGAGGAAGAAAAGACAACACTAGTAGATCAGGGGGTTGGAAGAGACAGACAACTAAGGCAGCAGAGGGGGATGAGTAGGAAGTCGCATTTCTTCTGCAAAGGAAACCTTGAAATGAATCACCTGCTCCCTCATGGCCACCATAGATAAAAGGAATAGCAGAGGCTCTCAACCAGAGGCCATTAGGCCAACCCTGCCATGGAGAAACTCAAGATACATTAAAGAACAGATGTCACCCAGAAAAAGAAATACCAGTTTTAAGGGCAAATTAAATAGTTTAGGGAGTGGATCAGGACACAAGTCCAGAAGCCCTCATGCGGGCTTTGACACCATCTCAATCACTGAGATTTTTCAGGCACTGAAAACTGAAGCATTGTTCAGACTATTACCATTTGAGCAAACAGAGTGTTGCTGTTCAAGTCAACCGGCCTGGCCTGACCTGCTCCAGCCAATCACTGGGGCTTCTGATCTGCATGATAATTATTTTCTAGTGAGTGAGGTGAGAGACTTGCCACTCAAAGTGTAGTACCTGGAATGGCAGCAGCATGAACTGGGAATGTGCTAGAAATTGGGGCCCTAGACTTAACCACGTTAGAGAGAACCTTTGCTAAAATGCAGTGACTTTGTCATCTTGCAATGGGATTCTGCATGTTTACAAGGCCATATGATTTGTACACAGGCTACGGTTTGAGAAGTACCTGAAGCTTTTGCCTTCTGATATTCATTTGCTTTAACAAACGCTTCTTGGTAAATACACAATGGCAGGTTTTTTGGTCTAAATCAGACTTTCTAGAATCGGCCCCAATGTGGCTCTTTCCGTTTTTCTTGCTTTGTTTTTTTTTTCTTTTCTTTCTTTTTTTTTTTTTTTGCCTACAGCTAATAATACAGATTTTTTTTTAACAAGTGCATCAGTGTTCCAGGTGGTTCTTGGATGGGATCCCTGAAACAAGGCTATAAAAAGCCAGATTTTTCTTCTAAGTTCCCAACTTAAGTATCCCCTGAGGCAAACAGTTTGGGCATATGGAGGCAAATAATTTTATGAAAAAGACATGAATGTCTGCATGATTAACATACTACCCTCGTGTACATCAAAATAAATGGGTAAAGTGCCAAAATCAACTTATTTTAGAATGTTTTACCCTGAGACATGTAAAGAGGGCATTTCCACCAAAATGGAGAAAAATAAATTTACTATTTTTTATATTAGTTAAAATATGCCTATCAAACCTCTCCCACTATATAGTTTTTTTTTACTTACTTGCATTTATATTCTTTTTGTATTTTAGTGTTATCACTGTGATTGTTTGATAAGTTTTCCATTTGTTTACTCTGGCCAAAGAGCAAATGAAAACATTTAAGGACTGAACACTTTAAAAACAAAGCATTCATTTCTTGGTGAATCTATTTGGAAGAGGCTTATTTATTTAAAATATAGGGTCTCAAACGAGACATAAATTCCCCAAAAAATAGTAAAAACAAATTAACAAAGGAGAATGTATTTCGTTTAGTGGTAGTTAAAAGTAAACTCTAGTATAAGATACATAACACCCACCATTTGGTATTATTATCACTATATAACATCAACCATTTGAAAACCATGGCTTTTACGTGTTTACTTTAAACTAAATGGTTCTAAATTATCTGTATCCTATATAACTTATATGTTATACCTGATTGACAATATAGCGTTTTTTCTGTGAACTACATACTAATATTTTGCTTACTGTCATTGGTAAAATGTAATTCATACAAAGAAAATCCAAATAAAAGTGGCTAAATTCGAACTTATAACTCAAAAATACACTCTTAATAGCAAAGGTAGCAATAATAATGGCCTAACTAAAAATGAACAAAAGAGCCGGATAAACATTTTCCAAAGATATGTAAATAACCAAGAGGTGTATAAAAATGTACTACATGTCACTAATCAGAGAAATCAAACTCAAAACGCCAGTGAAGTCACACTTCGTGCCTGTTAAGAGGGGACTGCTGTGGGAGTCGAAAGAGGCAAGTGTACAAAAAATAAAGGCACCTGGTACACTGCTGCTTGAGGTAAGAACTGGCACTGCCATCAAAGTAAGCCTACAAAAGAGCTTCGGAAAATTCCAAGCACGACTACTGTAACGATCCAACCATTCTACTACTGGCTATATTTCCAAAGGAAATAAAAGCAATGTCTTCAAGAGACAGCTCAATCCCATGCTTATTGTAGCATTTTTCCTAATAACTAAGACATAAAATCAACCCAGATTGTCCTCAGTGAGCAGATAGGTAGAAAATAGGATATGTGTCTGTGTATTACTTAACCATGAAACCAAGAAATCCTCTTTTCCAATAACATAGATAAACTTGGAGGGCACTGTGCTAAGTGAAATAAGTCAGACACAGAAGGACAGAAAAGATTTATATGTGGGATCAAAAAAGTGGAACTCCTAAATAAAGAGAACATAACAGCAATTGTCAGTGACAGATGGGGGAGGCGGGTGGGTGATGCTGGTCAAATGGGGCATCAGAGCACTGGACTGAGCTCCTAAAATCCAGTTGAAGAGTGGGAAGAATGAGAATATGAGTAAAGAGGTCAAGACCATGATGGGGACACCCACTGAAACAGTCTACCTGAGCTCCATTAGGGAGTTCATCAATTCCAGCCAGACTAGGAAGGAACAAGCATAGGACCAAACTAGTCCCTGTGAATGTCGGTGACAGTTGTATGGCTGGGGCAGACTGTGGAGGTCACTGACAGTGGTACCAGGTTTTATTCCTACAGCTTGTGCTAGCTTTTTTGGAACCCATTCTCTTTGGATGGATACCTTGCCCATACCTTGCCTAGTTGGACCTTCCCCAAAGCAATGTGCCCTCTCTGAGGAGTGGATGGGGATGGACGGGATTATGTGGAGAAAAGGGGAGGAGGGGAGGAAGTGGGAACTGGGATTGGTATGTAAAATAAAAAAGATTGTTTTCTTTTAAAAACAAAAAATAAACAGATAGATAAATGAATAAATAAATAATAAAAAGAAAGAAAAATGCAAAGAAGCAGAAGAGAAGGCCTGTGGCTCTCTAGATCCTGGAAGACGGACCATAGACTGTGGGTCATCACGTCTATCAGATCTGCCTAGATGAGCAGCGTTCTGTTGGTTTGTTTTGAGCATCCAGGAAGCTCCACTTACCATCTCCTTCTTATCTTCCTGGAAGTGAACGTTCACAAACATTTTCCCCACAACGTAAGGGAGGGCACTTTCAATAAAGTTTACACATTTGTCCCACTGAGGCAGCAGAGTCATCGTCCCCTGGATTACCTGTGAAGAATAACCAATACAATTTGAGCTTTGTTTAAATAATAGTTTGCTGAGGGGGAAAAGTCAACCTATCTGAAGAAAGCAGTCTACAAAAGGACTTCCCACCCATCTCGTACACATGCCAGATAAGGAAGGTCAAGGTGAAATCAGATGGAGAAAAATAAAACATATTTTTGTCCTTAATTTCTAGCTAAAACTAAATGAAACTATGTTGACAGTGGAAAAACAATGCATTTCACCTTTATTCTAATTTTCTTCATTAAGCAAGACATATGGGCAATAGCATAGCTTTTCTGCAGCAAGGAAGGACAGAAAGGGATGCAGTTCCAGGGCCTGGACAGTACTTAGTATCTATTGAGGACTGCAGTTCCGCCAGGGAAGGTTTAGAACTGTATGTAGGTAATCAAAGTTCTTGTTAGCCGGCCAGCAGACCACATCTCACCATGAACAACCTGGGGAGCCCACTTACACGGTGTCATCGCAGAGTAAACTACAGATTAAATACTTTTCCCATCTGCCACGTTATCCCATTTTAAGAAAACTTTCATAAACAATAAGGGACTTCTGAAGCAGGATTTGAAAGTGCCAAGGTTTACTCTTGGGGACAAAAGCACAGAAATAAATACCATGTAAGTTTTCCCTGGAGGCTGGAGTGTGTAGGCAGACAGCGAGGGAGGGAGGCCCTGAGAATAGGCGCCTGGAATACCCCATGCACAATTTTAGAGCCAGGTTGTTAGAACAGGGCAAAAGGGATTAAAGCTTAAATTCATCTCTCCTTCCTTTGCTTTCTGGGAACACGACCCTTCTCAGAGGTAAGGGATGAAGCTATTTTTAAAACCTCCAGAGAAAGCAATCCTACAACCTCCTTCGGCAATTCAATATTATATTTAGCACTTCATGTTCAAAAAACATCCCCTTATACCTAACCTCAAATTTTCACACACCACTTCTTACACCTTGCTCTCTCATTCTCTTCACAGTGGGGGTGGAGAGCAGCTGGATACCATCTTTTATGTGATCCATATGAGTTAAAAATACACACACAGCAAAAATATCTACTTGTTTCCTATCTTAACTATTTGATATGGCCTAAATATAAGTAATTGCTTCATGTTTATCCAGCCTCTGAGATAAAGTAACTTTTTATATTCTAGTTGACTATAAAGCGCCAAAACTTGCCCCAAATAACCGTATCACTCTCTGGGTATAATGGTCCACTATAAATTTCTATATTTGTCAGTTTCTCTAAGAATTCAAATGTATGTTAAATGAAATAAGAGCTTATACGATTTGACATTCACTTTGCCTTAAATTGGTAGAAAAATAAAATACTTTTTTAAAGCCACAAAATCCTTAAGTCTTCTAAGCCGAAGCAGAATTAGTCCCAAGCCTCAGAAATGCAGATGAAAGTAATATCTGTCTGTGCAAGTTGGGAGGCAACGAGGTGGGTGAGAAACAAAGACTCAAGGGCCAGGTAAGTGGGGGAAAGAAAATGGATTCCGGCACTTGAGGATGTCATGGGAAGACGGTGAAATGGGTCAAGCAGAATTAGGATAGATTTAAGATTGAATATCTAAGGAAAATTAAAGATGCAATTCTAATACCAAGCGAAAATGAAGTTGGAACATTCTCTCTGCATATAATTAGAACACGGAGAAACCTTGAAAACCATAGTTACAGTAAAGATCATCAGACTGTATCCATCCAGTCTAATTGAATTTGTACATCCTTTGATGCACATCTCTTGCCCAGCCTCTCTCCTCTAACTTCAAGTAACCGCCTTCCTACTCACTGCTTTTTGAGCGACTATTTCATATTCCACATATACTTGAGATTATGCAGCATTTGTCATACTGCGTAAAGTGATCACAGTTAATGATAATTATGTATTTCAATTTTGATAAAATACAGCTTTGATGTTCTCAACACAGAAGTGATAATATGTTGCTGAAATGATGTATATGTTCATTATCTTGATTGAATTTTTCTATAATGCATTTGTAGATCAAAACATCACGCTGAACCCCACAAATATACACAATTATCACAAGTGTTTACCAGTTAAAAGGTAATGAAATTTGAACTACTTTGAAAGTGATGTATCATTAAGAAACATCAAAACCATTAATTTCAGTTAAAAGCACTAAAAAAAAAAGTAGAAATGAGCTGTTAAAGAGGGATGTTTAAACAAGATTTCATGGCCCAAAGTATCACTCTAAATATTATTATACAGCCCAATGGAGAGCCTGAGGTACTTTTTACAGGATATAGGTATACCTGAATGAAATGAACTAGCGTGAAAAAGTTTAAAGAAGAGTTTAGACTGCAAGCTCACTAAATCCCATTCTTAAAGATTTTTTTTTAACTGGAATGGTTAACATTGGGACTGTTCTAGCATGTACGAAACGTTTTGATATCCATTAACTCACCCTTGAGAATTCCAGCCATCTATACTGAAAGCGCCTGCTGAGGTTTGGAATTCTGGAATAAACCATTCTCCACACCAAATAGTTGGCAATGGTTCTGGGAAAGGAGAGAAATGAATATTTATTACATTGTCGGTCACATCTGATTCCCTGAAAAACACCTTTGGGGAGCTGTTGGCAAGGACACTACAAGGTCAATGAGTAACACCAAAATGGGCTCGAAGATTCCGGCCTCAAGGCATAGGCCTTTCCCTAGTTTCCTGGATCTGCAAATGGGAATACCTTCAACTTACTAGTGAACTGGTCCAATGTCTGCATGTTATTGGCCTTTGGGAAACTAAAATCAAAATATTCATTAATAGCAATCATCTAAATTTTTACTTTGATTCTGTAAGCTCTAAATAATGTGAGCCCAGGCAAATCAACTAAGCCTTGTTGATTATCTTTTCTCATGAAATGATGAGGATGTTCCCTACTTCACAAGGTGAGTGTGATGTTAAAATAACACAGTCATTAACAGAGTGAACTCCTAAGTCTTGTTGACCTCAAAACATATAAAGAATCTCATATGGTTCTGTAAAGCTCTGATACATATTTTCAAAATTCTGTTCTATATGAAGTGTTGCCTGTTCTATAAGGAAAAGAATCTCTGACCTCAGAGAGATGTGCGGTCTGAGCTCATTTCTAACTCACCCGTGATGATGGATATTTAATGACCCAGCCCCTCTTAGCTGTCATTACCATGGTGACTAATGACACACATTCCTAAGATGACTCCTGGGTCATGCAGAAATGTGAACAGCAGTGAGACATGATGATACTAACCCACCCATCAAGAACAATTCACATGGTTATTTGCGTGAAACTGCCACAGGAGATATGTTCTCCAATGAGCAAAATATTTTTGAATATATACAAGTACAGAAACGTTTGTTTTAATTTATATAGACATACAGAAAATACCAGGAACATTTTCAAGACAGTTTTTCCCTATGTAGTCCAGGATGACCTAGAGTTTATGTTCTTTATGCCTCTATCTCATAAGTGTGCTGGGATTACAAGCATGTGCCTTCATGCTTGAAGATTTGTGTGTCTTTATTTTATGTGCATAAGTGTTTTGTGTGCATGTGTGTAAGTACACTACATATGTGCAGTGTCTGCAGAAGCCAGAGTTATGATCCCCTGGAACTGGAGACCAACTGATGGTTGTGAGTAACCTTGTGGGTGCTGATAACAGACCCAAGTCCTCTGCAAGAACGGCAGTGCTCAACCACTGAGTCATCTCTCCAATCCCTCAAAGAATTATTTTTAATAAATATAGAAATGAAAATTTGAAAGATAAAATGTTTAAGGCCATGAATTAATTTTTCAAACAACATGACATTTGTACATTAAGATAAATTAATCCACATAAAATTATATTATATGACCAGGTATGTAAATATGTGTTTCATATAATCTTCTTGGCTATTTCAGAAAGTTTTGGCATACTCTTGTCAGATCTGCTTTAGGCACCACCCTCCTGATAATTAAAATGGCATACTAATATAGAAAAAGGGACATTTTGTCATTTTCTCGTTATTAATTTGTACTTCCATTACTAATAATTGCTTCAACTCCTGTCTCTGTAAAGGAGAGATCAAGTGTGGTCAGGAGGAGTGGAGGAAGAGTGTATGGGGAGAGATGACTAGAATGGGTGGCATTGAGGGGTAGTGGAAACCTCCTGTAACCAATGAGGGTGATCCTAGAGAGGTCTCCTAGGAATGGAGGATATGGAACTGGGACTTCAACCCAGCCACAAAACATTCAACTCACCACCTGTCCCGACTTTAAGATACACTAGGGAAATGGTGGCTCAGAATTTGTGAGAGTAGCCAAGCAATAATTGATATAACTTGAGGCCCAAGATACAACAGAGAGCCCCTGCCTAACACTTCTTGGATGGCCAGGAACCAGAAGCTGGAAGGTTCAGAGACTAGGATAGAACCAAACACAACTAACAAAAAAGTCAATGAAATGTTTTCCAATGATGTTTTGCTATACTCATAGATCGGAACCTAGCCCAATCATCATCAGAGAGGCTTCTTCTAGCAGCTGATGGGATCAGATGCAGAAATACACAGCCAAACATTAGGTGAAGCTCAGGAAACCCCACAGAAGAGGGCAATGAAGACTTGTAGGAGCCACAGAAGTCTAGAACACCAGGAGAACACGTCCCACACATTCAACTAAGTAGGGTTCACAGGGATTCATGGAGACTGAGGCTGTGGTTATGGAGCATGCACAGGTCTCTGCTAGGCCCTCTGCATACATGCTGTGGTTTTTTTAGCTTGCGGTTTTTTCGTTTATTTCAACAGTAGGAGAGGGACTGTCTTGGACTTTTTTGCCTGCTCACGGGACCCTTATTCTCCTACTGGGTTGCTGTGTCCAGCCTTGATATGAAGGTTTCTGCTAGTCTTATTGTATCTTGTTATGTCATGTTCTGTTGATATCACTGGGAGGCATGCTCTTTTTGGAAGGAAAAAAGGGGAGCAGTGGATCAGGGAGAGAAAGGAGGTGGGGAAGTACTGGGAGGAGGGGAGAGAGGGAAAGGAGGAGAGGGGGGGGAGAGTGAGGAAGAAAGGGAAGGAAGGGAGACTACAGTCAGGATGTACCATATGAGAGAAGAATAAAGAAAAAATAAGACAAAAAGAATTTTAAGCCACTTTTTGTGATATGATGCTTAAAGTAATAAAATTCATATACCTATAACTATGATATTTCAGAATTATTTTCAATGTATGAATGAAAACAAACTAACAATAGTTAATGTGGGATTCCCTTCTGTGTGCTATGAATAGCATTGGTTAATAAAGAAACTGGTTTGGCCTGATATAGTAGAACAGAGCTAGGCAGGGAAAACTAAACTGAATTATAGGAGAAGGAAGGCAGAGTCAAAGAGAAGCCTCAGAGCTGCTGCCAGAGACAGAGGTGCTGAAACTTTGCTGGTCGGCCACGACTTTGTGGTGATGCACAAGTTAATGGAGATGGGTTATTCTAAGATGTAAGAGTTAGCAAATAAGAAGCTAGAGCTAATGGACCAAGCAGTAATTTAAATAATATGGTTTCTGTGTGATTATTTCGGGTCTGAGCTGCCAGGCAGCTGGGAAACAAACTAACGGCCTCCCTGCTACAAATAGTAAACACCGTGTCCCCCAAATTGTGAGTCCGTGGTCATCAATATAGTGGAACTCTATTAATCCTAATTATTTTTTAATTTATAAAATGAAAATACAGACAATGTGAAATTTTCTTCTTGAACCCAATAGAGAGAACATGCTAGCATAGGGTGTTGGCGCATCTCAGAGTCTACCATCCAAATAACTTAAGTCTTGCCCTCAGAGATGTTCTGCTTCGGTCCCTAAAAGAAACACACCATCTTAGGCATTTCCTTTTTGCCTACAGATCCCTACTCCTGAACAAGCCGAGAAATTCTCACCAAGCATTTACAGTTGACTCAGTGCCTACAGTCAGTACGATGCTTACTACTGTCAACTTGACAGGAACTAGAACCACTTGAGAAACAAGCCTCTGGGCAAGCCGGTGAGAGAATATCTAGATGAAGCTAACTGAGGTTAGAAGACACACCCTGAATGTGGGTGGCACCATTCTGTGGGCAGGAGTGCCAGCTCCAATAAAAAGAAGAAAGCCAGCTGAGCACAGCATTCACTTCTCTCTGCTCCCTGGCTTTAGATGCAATGTGACCAACTGCCCCAAGCACTAGTCCCCATGATGCCTTCTCCACTATGATCAATTGTACCTACACACTGGGAGAGGAAATAAATCCTTCTCGCCTCTTTTTTACGGAGTATTTGGTCCCACTAATGTAGAAAGGAACTGATACAGTGGAGAATGAAATATTCCAGCTGATTAGTATCTTTTTACTTCATTGTATAGACACACTTTAACATGTAAAAGACCCTTCTTTCATGGACTCAACACATCCTGGGCAGCCAGGTATGTACTGATTGTCCTAGGTGCTGAAGAGATGAAGAGGTGAGAAAAAACTTGGACTCCGAGATACTGAAGCTTTTGGTTGAATACAGAGATAATTGAAGTTTAGAATCATTTAGTGAACTCTTCATCGCACAGCCGGTGGCTTTCAAACAAGTAGACTCAGCTGGAGAGTTCGGATAAGTGAAGATGCTCAGGCCACCCCAGGTCAGGTAAATTACCAACTCTAGAGTAAGACCTAACACAAATGGTATCTTTAAGTCCTGCTCCCACCAAGGCCTATGTACAGGCCACTGTAATAAGCCATGGAGGCTAGCCCAGAGCCAGGTACGTCTAAGGCCTGTGTGCTTTCCCATACACTACATAGTGATATACAAATGCTACTAATTCAATGCCAGTCTCCTGATCAGTAACGGAAATCTGACTGAAAACACTTCACCAAAGGTGTTTCGCAGAAATCTATGCAGATCAGAAAAAGAACAGCGAGGCCTTTCTGGCCAAGACCTTACGAAGACAATAGCACAACAAGTTCTCCAAGAAGTAAAAGATGGCATGCTGACTGAGAAGCTCACCCAGGGAGACAAAGGCACTGAGGAGTTGTTCCAATGTCTTATAAAACTGCTGACAGAGCACTATGGGGTATAGCTTAGGAGTGATCATATTACCATGCCAGGAACAGAGATGACCATAATGACTAAATCACTAGCACCTAATAAACAGACATATCAAAAACAAACAAAATACAGACTCAGCAACAGTCATTGAAAATAAGCCATATTTTTCTTCTTTTTGGTCCAAAAAGCATTTTCTGCAATACAGTAATTTCCCCAAATATTAATAAATAATAGAAAGAAAATCATCCCAGCAAAGGACCTGCCACTAGAACAGCAATATGGAATTCTTCTCCAAAGCCTTTGACTCAGAAGATTTGCTATTTAAGAAGATTTTGCTACCCTCCCCCATATTCTGAAGTTTCAGGAGTGTACATTTATATTACGTTTCAGAGATAAGATACCTTCTGTGGTAGTTGGAACAGTGCTGTGGGATGGCGATTATTGTCCCCGTTTATAAATGGAGAAAACAAGTGCCCAATCTTCCCATTTG